TGGGGGGCCAGCTGAAGGCAGAAAAAGGCTTCCTTCTAGTCTAGGCAAGTGAACCATTTGGTGGACCCCAGGATCTGATTGAGGAGGGTGTACGAGTTTGGGACCACCAGGTGTAAAGAGACAGTCACTTTGTTAATGGCTCGCAGGTCTTAAACAGGCCGGTGCCCTCCTCCTGGCCTCCTGACTGGTAGAAGCAGGGTGTTCCAGGGAGACTGACACTTGTTTAGAATTGCCTGCATCTTGGAGTCTGATCAGGTGTTCCTGGATGCCTGCTCTCGCGTCTTGTAAGGAGGTTACTGCTGCTGTCTTGTGGGGCCCCCAGAGTCAATTCTGCAATGACAGGGGCTCGGTTATGAGCGAGTCCAGGTGGATTGGCTTCAGCCCATACCGAGGGGAAGGCGGCTCTGAATTCAGGTGGGCTACTTGAGAGGGCCTGGGCACAGAACAGCCTCCACTCCTCTTCCCTGGGTGTGGTTATTGCCAGTATGAGTGACCCTGGCCCTTCTTGGCCTGGGTTTAGTTTGAGGCTGGTGTGTCCAGTTGTCTCAAAGTTATTTGGGCTCCGAGCTTTGAGAGTATGTCTTGGCTGAGGAGGGGAACGGGGCACTCAGGCAGGTAGAAAAACTCATGTCGGACCTTGTGGCCTCCAAGTTCACATTGGCCGGCTTGGCAAAAGTGTTGCTGGACTGCTTATATCCCAGTGGCTCTGAGAATAGTTGCAGCCCTTCCACTGAAGGGGGCTACAGGGGGAGTGACCACAGAGTGTTCTGCCCCTGTGTCAACCATGAAAGTCATCTGTTGTTCCCCCACTTTCATTCTGACCGTGGGCTCCTGGGGGCCGAGTGCGAGAGAGCCCCGCCCAGTCGTTGTCAGGCTGAGTCTGCTCCTGCCAGGCCAGTGAGCCTTTCCCCGTGGGGCTCCTCCTGGCAGCCACTGGGCCTCGGGGCTTTGCCTGGGTTGGGCGTTCGTTCTTGCAGTGCCCCTTCTCTTTACCGTAAGCACACTGGTCCCTGGCTAGGGGGTTCCTAGGCCTTCGCCATCTTGGCGGTCGGCTTTGCTCTGCCGTTTGGTCATCTCTCTCTTTCTCTTAGGGCAGCTGCCAGGAGGCTGGCCTTTTTCTTCATTTCTCTTTCAGCCTCTCTGTCAGCCTGAACTTCTCTGTTTAGATAAACTTTGTTGGCAATTTTAATCAGCTGAGTGATATTCATCTGGCAAAGCCTTCAAGTTTTTGGAGCTTTCCTCTGATGTCTGGGGCTGCCTGAGCTATGAATGAGGTGCTGACCATGTGTTGGCTCCCTGGTGACTCAGGATTGAAGGGGGTGTAGATGCGATAAGCTTCACACAGTCTTTCATAATAGTCCCTAGGAGACTCTCCTGGTTGTTGAATGACTGAGAAAACTTTGGTCATGTTCACTGGCTTTTTGTACCCGGCTTTGATCTCCTGGAAGAGGGCGTCCTGATTTTGGTGGATCTGGTGCTGTCCCTCTGGGGTGGTGAAATCCCACTCGGTGCACTCCTGGGGGCGGTGATTTCAGCCTATGCATCCCGATCAGGGACCCCAGTTGCCTCTTCCCTTCTGTTGTGAACAGGGTGCGGAGAAGCTGTTGGCAGTCTTTCCACATTGGCCGATGGGTTTGGAAGAGGGATTTCATGAGATCAACCAGGGCTTGTGGCTTTTCCGACGGGGTGTTGTGTTTTTAGTTGATGAGGTTAGTTGTGGAGAAGGGTCAACAGTAAAGCATGGACCGGCCAGGCTGGATGGTCCTGTCTTTATTACACCTTTCAGGCTCCCATGTCTCTTGCACCAGCATCTGAAGGGCGCCTGCTCCTGGCTGAGAACAGGGTCTAGCTGCTGGTCCGGGAGCGAGTAGGTTCACTGGTTCTGGAGTTGTTGGGGTGGCTGATGGCAGTGGGGTGTCTGGGACTGGGTGCTGACAGCCTTGGGGGCACATAAGGTGGGGGCAATATTAGCTCTTTCTCTGGGTCACCAGCAAGAATCTGTGGAGGCTCAGGCTTGTGTTGATTCTTTGTAGGCTTCTTTGTTGAGGTTACTAAGATCCTACCCTGTCCCTGCTTGTTGCAAGCGAATCGCACCCAAGGGGAATGATCTGGGTGATTCCTAACCATTAATATGTGAGAACTGGTCAGGATGACCTGGATGTCCAGTGATGACCCGCCAGACCTGGCAGAGTATTGGGACATCTAGAGCCCCTTCTGGAGGCCATCCTATATTAAAGGTGGGCTATTCAGATTCACACAGGGTTTTTAACTTACTGGGAGTTAATTTTACTCCGTAGTCTTTTGAAAATCCCTTCCTTAAATTTTTGATCATGGTGTCAAGAACTGTGGGTTTGCTGTGCCCTGACCCCTGATGTGCCCATAGAACAGGGCCATGACAACAGACAAGGGAGGGGTGCCTCCTCTAGAGAGGAGACCTGTCATATGCCCGTCCTTTCACACTCCTCTTGGAGACTTTGGTCAGCCTTGACTAAGGTCACCCGTATAAGTCCCGGGCCAGGTCAGCTAAAGCTGAGTCACCATTATGTCACTGTTATGTTGTAGCAGTCGACTGCTAGTACATCAAAGGGCCCATCAGATTCTGTAGCGCAAGCCGTGAAATCACAGATTCAGTGCAGACTGAATGGCTTCAGCCGCCCTGCACACTCACTCACACACTCAGACCAGAGTGTAAACATTCCCCCCACCACCACCCCCTTCGGGAATGTCTACCTGTGAGACTTCTAAGAAGTCTCTGGGAGGTGATCAGGCTCCCCTTCCACCCCAACAGGTGTGAACTGGCTGGGTCAGGGGCCCTGGGGCCTTACCGGATTCGACCTCGAAACCAGGTCCTCACCTGCCAAGCCTCCTAGAGTCTGGCAGGAACAGTGGATGCAGGCCGGCCCAGGGCGACTGGGCGGGAGACTGCCAAGTGATCAGGTGGGGCGTACCTCCTCCGCTGCAATCTCCCCGTTTGTAACCACCCTGCTGTTGCCCCAAACCAGTGGCAACAAAGGGCCAGCGCAGTTGGGTTTCCTGGTCAGGGAACCAAATGTTACGGAAAACACTGGAAAAAAACTAGTCTGGATCACAGACGGAGGAACCACGCAGCACACAGAGGTCCTGGAGTGTTGAGGGTTTATTTCACGCCAGTGGGCTCAGAGGTGGGTAATCTCTCAAGGTCTGAGCCCCGAACAAAGGCAAGGGGAGCAATATATATCTGTCTGCTTCTGTATTTGTAACATTCCTACGTGCACAGCAAACGAGCAAGCAAGGCAGAATAAGTTTAGGGAGTAAGTGCCCGGCAGAGCAGGGAGTGAAAGGGAGAGGGAAGTTAAGGGAGTTTCTGTTGTCTTTGCTAAGAAAAGCACCAGAAGGGAGCCACCTGGACTAGACTGCTGTCCTTGTAGGTTTTTCCCTATCAGTTAAAGGTGAGCACAGGTCCTACATACACTCAAGGGGAGGGGATTATACACACAAGAGTGTGAACAGCAGGAGGCTCAAATAATGGAAGCCACATTGGATAAGGGGAGCTATATTTGGGATGCCTTCTTGTGGGAACTAAGAATCATCTTTCCTCAAAGTTTTTGAAAGCCACTGAAGGGTTTTAAGCAACCCTAAAAGATAAAGTAACACATTCTTGTTTTAGAACCCTCACTGGCTGAAAAGTGTGGAGAATAGATTGGTGAGAAAGAAAACCTGAGTTCGGAAAATCCATTAGGAGGTTGTCAATATAATCCTGGTGAATTTGTGGTGGTCGGAACTAAGATAATGCTAAGAGGAATACAGAAAGACAAACTGGAGAGTTATTTAAGAAATATAATAGGATTTGGTGATAAACAGGCAGCGAGACAGAAAAGTTGAGGGTATTCTAGTTCTGGCTTTTGCAAATGGTTTTGTGGGCAGTGTAAGATAAATTCTAGCAGAAATAAGCAGGCAAAGAGAGGCAACAAAGGCCCAGGTAGTTTATTTGAACGCAATTCCCAGGTGATGTTCCCCGGTCTGGCTATCACAGGCCGGGGAAGTCACACTCAGCAGGGCAGGCAGCAAGTTTTTAAAGAAGGCAGAGGGAGGAAGAGCAAAGGTGTACAGTGGCGCAAGGATTGGCTTGCCTAGGGTACGTGGGGGTCTCTCATTGGCTTTTAGCCAGGTACTGTAAACTTACCACTTATCTTCTAACTTGGGAGAAGGGCCCTAGTTAGGAATGTTATCGGATCAGGCTCTGGAATGTTGTCAGACCAGAACCTGCTTGTCCAGCAGGCTCACCTCTTCCCCTGGTTCCTCCAGCCTTACAGGCAGTGATACTGTTCATTAAGAGGAGGTGCAGTTTAGATTGTTGAGTATGAGATGGGCAGGTAGGTAGTCCAGTAACAGAATTAGAGACTAACTATGCTCCCTTAAGAGAAAAACTTCCTTTGAAAAATATAGAGTAACTTTTATGCCTACAAAGAACCTGTTGTTCAAATTTGTTGAAACTGGTTGAACCTTTTCAGCTCATCCGAAACGTGCAATTTCAGTATTACAAATAGTCCACAAATGCAAGAATACCGGCTTGAGTATACACCCCGCTGTTCCTAAAAATACACCTCTCACATTGTTTAAGAGCAAAGGATGCGTTTGGGAAGGATAAAAATATGTAAAATCCCAATGCTTCGGAGTTTACGTTAGAGTGATTTGGGTTGAATTCAATAGTCCTAATTACTGGGCTGCAATCCCGCATCAGACTAAGCGCGGTACAAGCACAGCCGCCGCTCCGCGTTCTAGGCTTTCGCGCTTTTTGGTATCAGCAGGAATAGACACAAGAGAAGCGGCCGGATTCTCTCGCGAGAGGGAAGGAGGCCGCCGCTCCTTAGAGTCTCCCAATCGCGCCACGTGTGCTCCCACCTGCCTGGCAAAGGAGTCTGGCACCGCCCAGGGTCTGCTGGGAATCGTAGTTCCGGGGCTGGATGATGCCCGCCAGCCGGGCCCCCGCTCCTTCTTACGCATGCGCGACTGCGAGCTGGCTCAAGAAGTTCGTAGCCTTTGTCAGGCCCGGGATGGGAGGTGAGTTAGTTGGTCGAATACCGCTCTTCTCCGCTCGGCCAGGGTGGTGGCCCCCTTGGACATCAACGTGCCGGGTCGGAGCTGCATTGCGTTTGTGAAAGAGGCCTCAAGGGCAGACCGTGAGCCCCATCCCCTGCCGCTCCAGACCCCCCGGGAACGCGGGTGCTAGCGCGGTGCTCGCGGGGGCGCGACGGGCCTGGCGTGGGGCAGTCGCGGGGCTCCGGGAAGAGCCTGGAGCGCCATGGAATCGGTTTGCGAGCCCTGAACCTCAGCCGCCAGTCCCCCCGGAGACAGCTGCAAGCGACAGGGACAGGCATCCGAGCACCCAGGCTCAGAGATGCTGTCCCCGGTTTTCCAGGTTCCAGCCTCGTAGGACCGAGCTAGGCTTGCGAGTGAGGAAGAAAGCCGACGTGATCTGATCGCAACCTTTCAGCAGAGCTTCCAGAGGGCAGGCAGGAAGGAGGACCACGAGGCCTCGGGGGCTTCTCACTCTTAATGTCCAGCCAGGTCTGAACTGGGGAGAAGAGCAGAAGCTTCAGAACCAGGAGGAGGTGGTGATCATGGAGACAAATTTGGCCGAAATGCCCGAGAAGAGAGGTAAGAATTGCTGAAGTGCAGAAATTGTGTTCTGGAAGAGTGAAATTCTTCCTTCTAAAGGGAAATCAGCTGCCTCGAGGGAGGAGGCTCTTGGCAGAGTGCTATCTGTTGTCTTTGTCTGGGGGATGGATGGGTGCTTTGAGTGAGAATGGAGGGCTTAGTATGGGGTCACCCCCCCCTTTCCACTCCAAGCGGGTGCTCAGTGGACCTTCAAAGCCACCTCCAAAATGTGCGCAAAATGTTAGCTTCTAAGGGATGAGCATAGCACAAGTTACTTTTTCTCACACGATGTCCCTCCCAGATGATAACTCCATCCCAGCCTCCATCAGTGGGTCTGAGAATTAGCTTTTTGTTTGGCAAAAGTATCTTCCACACCTGTTATCCAACTTTGCACAATAACCCTATGATTTCAATAGACCACATATTTTTGTTTCGTATAGGACAAAACAGGCTTTAGGAGTCAGTGACTGACTTCCAATTCTACCAGATAAGTCTTGAAGTTTGGTGTGTGATCTCCCTATATCAGAATCCTACCCCCCACCCCATGTGCTTGTTACATTTCTAGATTATACCCCAGACTCAACTAATGATAATTATTTGGTAAGTGGGACCCAACAGTCATTTTTTTTTTAATACGCTTGCAGGGTAATTTTTAAGAACCATTGAGCCTATTTTTCTGATATTAATTTAAAGTAGATAAACCTGGGGGAAAACTGACCTATTTTAATTTCTAGATCAGAAAGTGCCGTCTTCCAGAATGTGTAATGGTTATAGCATCTGAATGAATTTAAGCACCACATCGCAGCATTCCTGGACATTGTCCATGATCCTGGGATCCTGGGTTCTTTGCGGATCAGCCTCAATCACAATGTTTGTAGGGAACACAATTTGCATGATGGAGGGAATTTTAGACTTGCAAATCCGAGACTTCGCCATCATTACTGCTTTCTTGCCTTAGCTCTGTCTTCCCAGGATTCTCCCTTTTCCCAAGGGAAGAACACAGAAGGGGAAGAAGTGGCAGCTTTGCGCCTCACAGCCAGATCCCAGGTGAGTGTGAGTCTCTACTGATTACTGGATTTCAACCTTATTTCTCAGAGGACAGAGGCACTATTTTCTTGATGTGGCATTTCTTTGTCCATTGGAGCCCATCTAGAGACCTGAGTTCCAACTGTAAGAGATTACCCAGGTGACTAATGGACTCAATAGAAAATGTTTTCTGCTATCACATGGTATTTTCTCCATCTAGTACTTCTTGTCACTCAACAAGCATGTAAGGAGCATTGCCCTTCTTTAGGTTATGATTTCTGCGCTTGGTAACTCAGGAAACTAAAAAATCTTAAGTTTCTCAAAGGGAAGCAGCATACACATAATAGTTAAGTAGGAATTTAAGAAAACACCTTACACACTGAAATGAATTACAAAAATACTAAATAATCAAATAGTTCAAAAGAGTTCTGGAAAAGGAACCTATGGAAGGCTTACTTTAAAGAGTTAGAATTCAATCTTCCAAGACAACGCATGCTGAAGTATTTTATAGAGATGGTGTTTTCATGTCTGCAACTTACTGTCCAGTCTCCCCAAAGACAGATAGAATTGTTGTATTTAAGTGATGATTATACTATGGGTGATTTGTGTATTAGTCTTTCAACTTTTTGCGTGTTTGAGAGTTTTTATTAAAACAAGTTGTGTAGGAGAAAAAAGCTCTCCATGATTGTGTGGCATACAGCACCCAGAGATTCCTCAGCTGGCCTTTCTCTTTGCCGCTATAATTTGGAGTGTAAAAAATAGTCATTGCACATTGGTACTATTTGTAAAAGTGACCTTTCGGGATTCTCATATAATTGCTTGTCTCCATTGTTTTCTCAACTGCCTTATGTTAGTCTTGAAGACTTTATTCATCAAGAAGCTTTAAGTAGCAACTGATGAAAACTCAAACTGACTTAGGCAAAAAGAGGTATTTATTGACTAACATAACTGAAAAGTTGAGGCCTGGCTAGAAACAAAGCTCAAACAGTAACAGTAAAACCTGTTTCCTCCATTTCACTGATTTTCTCTCTATAGCTTTTGCTCTCAAGCAGGGTTTTCTTCTAGGGCTGGCTGCTGATGAGTGCAGGCCTGCGTCTTCCCATGCAGAAGACCAGAGGGAGAGGGCATCTTCTCTTCTAATCATTCCAGCACAAGTCCTGGGAGTAACTCTTTAGTGGCTGTTAATGTGGTTGGCCAGATCTAAGTGTAATTCTCTAATTGAACTGACCTAGGTAGGGAATATACCTGCACATGCACACGTGCAAACACACCTCCCACCCATGAGTCCGAGATGGAATTAATACTGCCTGAACTACATGGATTAAAGGTGGCCAGGCATAGCAGCCAGAAGAAATTCAGGGTAAAGGTACCAGAGGAAGGGTGAATGCTTTATAGAGTTCAACACTTTGACATTAGATTCAAGACTGTTAGAGATTCAGGGTGGATTAAACCTGTTAATGGAAATTTTAAAAACTCTGTCCTTTTTGCATAACATTGGATTTTGTTTGACGGTAATACAGCAACTGTTTTTCTTACTAAAATTTGCCTGGGGTAATTTTTTGATCTTTTACTTATTAGATTTTTTTTTTAATTATCAAGTTTTTAATCCTTATTCACTGTAACCAGGTGAACAGCACAGACATATATAAATATAAAGGGAATATCATTTACCTTCTAAATCCAAAACCTCTCCCTACTGATGTATATTTTTCCATGTTTTTGTTGAGCTTGCACTACTTTATTCAGACTTCTATATTTCCTTCCAACTACCAACCCCAACTTTGGTTTGCATTTTTGTTCTGATGTTTTTCTTTTAATGGTTTGGAAGTTAATTCCCACTGAGTGTCATTTTAGCTATGATAAGCAGATTGTAGGATCAAGGCCATTTTTCCTTAAAACTTCTTGTCTATTTACTACGTACTTAATGATTTTTACCTTTCACTTTATTTTCCAAGGATGATTCTTACATTTTTTCAGTTTCAGATAATTTCCATATTTTGGAAACTTTATTTTGAAATAGTTTTAGACTTGTAGCAAAAAAGTAGGCTTGTGGCAAGAAATGTTGCAACATAATAGATTTCTCACATAGTCTTCATTCAGGCTCTTCAAAAGTTAACATTTCTACCATAACTTTATTATTCTCTTTTTTCAAAATCAGGAAGTTAATATTGGTGTAGTACTATAACCTACTGACCTTATTCAGATTTCCCAGCTGTCCTGTTTTTCTCTTTCCCCATTTAACTTCTGCCGTTGTCTCGTAATTCCTTGTTGTCCTTAGTTTGCTGTTGGTGTTCTTTCCCTAATCTGACTGTGCTTTGTTCATTTATTTACAGTATTTTCTTTGGTGAAATGGAAGTGTTTAGAGCCAGGAAATATTCTAAAGTAAAATTTTAGCTATTTGGCATAGGTTTCTGTATTTTATTCATTATTACTTTGAAATTTAGATACACTTTTTCAATTATTAGATATTTCTTCTATTTCTGTTTTGGAATTTATTGATATTTACTTTGTTACTTTTTACAAACGCTCCATGAATGTTTAAATAAAAGGTGTTTTCTACCCAGTTATAGCATTTGGTATATATTTCAACAACCTTGGCCTATTATTCCCATTTTCTATGGCTTTATTTAAAGGGGAATGTTCAATACTGCTATGTATCTATTCCCATACTGTTTTTGTATATTATGACTGACATAAATGTAATCCTGTGATATTTATACATGAACATTTATAAGTTGTATCAGTACTGTTTGTTGTTGTCATTTTTCAATTTAATGCTTTTTGCCTTACATTAAGTCTGTGCTTAACAGGATTCGGTGCCCACTGCCAGTCTTTTCATCCCAGGACTTCTTCATTCACAAATTTTGTATTTCAGTTCATCTTCTGATTGGCTAAGTTGCATCTTCAATTATTATTTATTGAGGGGGCCACAAAATGCCAGACAATGTTTTTGACACTGCACGTTCAGCACTGAACAAAACAAGAACTTGGAAAATTATATTTTTTACACATAGTTTTGTTTTTATGACAGGTCCTAGCTTAACATTTCTTTATGCCCTCTTTTATCTCTTTCCAGGGACTTTTAAAAAAATGTATGTTTTTTATTCTAAATGGTCCAGACAATAAAATTGTCTAGGTTGAGTCTTTAGGTTGTGAGTTCACACGGAATATTATGCAGATAATGCCTTTTTTTCTGTGCCTGTATTTTGTTTCCTTTGCTAAACTACCTGTTGACTCGTTGGGTCATGTTTTAATTCTTTATTCCCTAGAAAAATTATAGTCTATCAATAGGAAAAACCATGGTCTTCTTTTGGTTCTCATATTGAAGCTAGGACAGCATGCCTGGCATGTAACTGATTGATGCCCAGTGACTTTACATAGAATATTCAGGTTCTGAAATACTCGAGAATGTTTGTCATGTATCACAATCCTTTCCCCTGTTGAATATATATCACACATCTATTCCGGGGCCAACAAATGGGGGGAAAAGGCTATTGAGTGAACGGTGGTGAACAAAAGGATGTTTTGTGTCTTCAGGCATCAGTGACATTCAAGGATGTGGCCATGGACTTTACCCCAGAGGAGTGGGGGAAATTGGATCCTGCACAAAGGGACGTGATGCTGGAGAACTATAGGAACCTGGTCTCGCTTTGTAAGGATGGGTTCCACTATGACTCTGGAAGCTGCTTATGGGGCTTCATTACTGTATTGAAAGTGAAATAGCTTAACAAAGCCTTCACTTTTGCATTCAGGAATCATAAAGTATTGGTACCTCTGGGCCCAGAGAAAAACTTGTCCTGCTCTAGGTTCTTGGTAAAATGACTATTCTTGTTTTGTATCAAGACTGGATTCAAGTGACAGAAATCTAATTCACACTAACTTAAAGAGGAAATAAAAAATTTTGACTCAGGTAATCAAATATATTGTCAGGAATTCCTTTTTACGTATTTTTAATCATGGGGCTTGGCTTTGCCCTGTATTGACTTTATTCTTAGGATCTCCCTATGTGGCAGAGGTAGCCGTGGGCAGCTCTAAGGTTACATTATTCTAACAGAGAGCTAAGGAAGAAAAGGAGAGTGGTTCTCTCTGGGGAGTTTCAACAAATAGGGTCATATGTCCATCAGTGAAACAATTACTAGAGCCAGAGAACTCTGGCCAGTTTGGATCCTGTGCCTACCTCTGTTATGTGTCTGTGTGTGTGTATATGCGTGTGTGCATGTATGTGCCCATGAGGGGTGTAAAGAACTGTGTTAGCTCCTCCCCAATGTCATGTATTAAATTCCCTAAGAAAGCACCTTCTAGTAACTAGAAAGGAAAAACATTAGAGACAAAAACTGTAGTTACTATAGTCCCAACTTTTTGGCACTGCTACCAAGATCCCACTTTTTCTAATGAATTACCTATTCTAAGCACTAATCTGCACTGTCTCCCTGGGACTCCCTCAGTAGAGAAATGAAGAAAAAATCTCTTTTTTGACAGCAAAAACATTTGTATTTTCAAATGAATGTAAATTCACCAGGCCCATACTTCCTGCAGATGTTTAAAGCTTCGTTTAGACATCCATCCTCCCTTATTCCAGATTTTCCTGTAATAGCCTGTCTTCTTTGTGGATTAAGGGCTTGGAACAATACTCTAGGATAGATATTTGTGCCCATCACAAATAGCTAAGTCTCATTTCTTTGCTATTTTTCTTTTTTTTCTGAATGAGCAGGGCTTCCAGTTTCTAAACCTGAGAACTACAATTTGGAGAATGGAAAAGAACCATTGATGTTGGAGAGAAAAACCCGCAAAAGCAGCTACTCAGGTAAGCCAGATACCTGGGAGCCTTCAGAAATAATAGCCCCACAGGACAGTGAAGAACTGGCACTTCTCTGCTTAAAATGTTAGAAGTGCCTGTGTGCTTTTATGTTTTAAATATCTTAATTTATATAGCATTTCAAATACATACAAAAGTTGAGAAAATAACATGTATCTTCCCTCAAGATCAAATGCATACCAATATGTTGCTTCTTCTGCCTCTTTTCTTTTTTCTTCTTTTTTGCAATATAAAACATAAAAACATGATAGTTGTACCATTCTGTGAATTTTCACAAATGAACACATTTGTGTAACCAGCACTCAGATTAAGAAAACAACCTTACCACTACCCCTAGACATATTCTTGCGTGCTCTTTGTCACCTGCTTCGTTCCGGGGGTAACCTTATCCTAACTTCTAACACTACAGATTAGTTTTGACTGTTCCTGAGTTATATAAACAGAAACATTTTGTATGTGCTTGTGTCTGGCTACCCTCACTGAGAATTCCTGGGATATACATCCACACTGTTGCATGTAGTTGTAGCTCATTCATTCTCATTCTTGTACAGTGTTGCATTATGTCAATATACCAGGTTTTCCATTCTCTTGATAGGAATTTGGGGATTTCCTGTTTGGGGCTATATGAATAGTACTACTTTGTACATTCTTTTGCATGTCTTTTGGTGAACACATATGTGAATTTCTGTTGAATATATATATATACAAGTAGAACTGTTGGGTCATAGGGCAGGTGATGTTCACTTTTGGTAGGTATTACCAAATTACCAACTCCAAAGTTACTGTATTAAATACATTGCCACTATGAGAGTATGTGAGTTCTAGTTGCTATGCATCCTTATCAGCACTTAATATTGCTTGTCTTTGTTTTTAACCATTCTTATAGTGTGATATTTTTTATTTTTAAGAAATAAAAAATACGCAGATTTAGTTAAGTCCTTTCATTTGCTTTCTCCCTAGAAGTAACTATTTGGTGTGAATCATTCTAATGTACATATACACCTGTACAAAACCAACATGTATATATAGTATTACATTATATTTTTTCTTTTGAAATCCAATTTTTTAAAACTTCACATTGTATTTTGATATTAATCTATGTTAATGCATATGAATTGTGTTTATTCATTTTAACTAGTATGGAGTAAGTCCACTGTATCAAAAAACTGAACAATTTAACTTCTTTGCCATTTATAAGAGAGTTGCAATGAGCATTCTTCTGTTGACTCCTTATGTTCATCTTGAGAGTTGGCTTAGGGTAGATAACAGAATAAAAATGACTGGGTCTTAAAGTATCACATGTTTAGTTTTATTAGTAACTAAACTAATCCTGGCCAACAGTTGATGCTATTAGATTTAGTGATGTTTGTCAGTCTAATCATTATAAAATGAAATTTCGTGATTTGCTAGCCCTGGGCTAACCCAGGTCCCCACATATTCTTGGGTATGTTTCTAGACTTTCTGGTTTACTTGACTATCAGTAGTAATTACTATATAGTATGTGCATCTCATAAAGAAAGTCTCCCCTTAATATTCCTTTTTTTTCTATCTTATTTTTCTTTTGAATACTGACCTTTACAATCATCTGTTACTATGTGTTTGGCAATTTCCCCTCATAGGCCTGTCAGTTTTTGTGACTTAACCAATTCACCACCCTTTTCCCTTTTTATGTAGGAAGTATTGCCATTTTCTTTAGTGATCTATAAGAACCCTTCACATATGAAGTATTTATTCTTTGTTATGTTGCAGGTTTTGTTGTTTTTCTTTTTACCCTTCAGTTTTGTTATGCTTTTAATGTACAAGTATTATGTGTACAATCTTTCATTTTCTGCCTTTCAATTAGTGCTTCTTTCCAAGATGACAGAAATATTTGCTCCTATTCTCTTCTAGTATATTTTTTCTTTAATTTTTCTTTTAAATCCTTAATCATTTGGAATTGTCTCTTACTTCTTTGGTTGTATCTCCTTAGCTTCCTTTTCTGAACAATTAAATGTTTGAATTGCCCAAAGCTTAGTTTTAATTTCCCTTACTCTATATACCTGGAATCATGAACTTGACTATCTACATTGACAGTAGGTAATGTACCTGAATGAAGCAAAGCTGGGTGGGGACTGATAACATGGAAGAGCTCACACCTCAGTTGAAGGAGTAGCCATGATTCATAGCTCAAGGGCCAGCAAACTTTTTATGTAACAGGCTATATAATAAGTAATTTGGGCTTTGTGGGACATACAGTTTTTGCTGCAACTACTCAGTTCACCATGATAGGGTAAAAGCAATCATAGGCAATGCATAAATTAATTGGTATGGTGTGTTCCAATAAAACTTAATTTATAAAAATAGACAGTGGGCTGTAGGTGCCATCCTCTGTTCTGATTGGTTGTTGTCATTCAATGTGCTTCTGGTTTTTTTCAAGAGAAACCCCCAGAAAATGTGAATTTCTGTATGAAGTCTCACAGTTTTAATGTCTAAAGCATCTAATCTCAAATATTTCTATAAACATTGTAGGCCAAGCAAAACATGTCTGAGAGTTAGATTTGTCCAACTGGTCACCTGTCTGCAGCCTCTACTTTCTTCCATAACCAAATTATCATCTCTATCTGGATGAATCCCAAATTTGTATTTCCATCCTAGAGTTCTTGGCACTCCTGTTCTGCACATTTGTTTAACTATTTAATTTCTGCATTTGATATCTCATAGATCTGTATAACATGTTTAAAACTGATTGTCTGATATATGCCCCAATTCTCCACACCCTCTTTTCCCAATAGTTGTCTTAATGAGGCTCACTGTCTTTCCAAATTATACAAACCAGAAATTTATGTATAGTCTTTACACTTCCCTCTTATCCAATTCATCATCGTTTATCTAATTATATTCTAAATATTTCTTCATTAGCACCCCTCCATCTCCCTTTTGTTTGCCTGTGATGATTTCTCTGATTCCACCTTTGCCCCTATATACTCCATTCTTTACATCATAGTGAGAGAATGCTTTCAGAATACAAATCTAATCCTTTTGCTTAAAAAATATTTCAGTGGCCTCCTGTTGCTCTCAGGGTAACAGCCAAAATCCTTAAGGCCTAAATAGTCTTGCAAAATCTACCTTTTACTCATTATTCCAACCTTACCTTATACCTACTCTCCCTCTGTTTTCGTACTCTTAGTGATTCTTAAATATTTTGGCATGATAGGACCTAGTTTAGCTCTAAAAATTATCAAGAACCCTAAAGAACTTTTGTTTAGGTTGGTTATATCTACCACTACTTATGGTATTAGAAATAAAAGTTGTCATCTATTAGGTAATTCATTTAAAATAACAGTCATAAACCCATTACATGTTAACACAAATAACTTGTTTTAGAAAAGTAACTTATATATATGTGTGTATCTCCCCCCTTTTTTTCCCTGTACTGAAAGTAGCAAACGGTACACACTTCTTTGCATCTCAGTGGGATTTTTTAAATTTAATGTATCCTGAAAATAACTTCAAAGCAATATATAGAAATCTTTCTCATTTTCTCATTTACATAGTACTCCACTGTATATATACACCATAGTTTATTTAATTGATTCTCTATAGAAGAATATTGAAATGTTACCAGTCTTGCCCTATCTCAGTTAGTGTTGTAGTGAACAAACACCCTTGTAATTTCATTTATTTGCCATTATATCTTTGGGAGATTTTTGATTAGGGACATATTACAAAAGCATTATTAAGGAAGATTAAACTAGAAGTGGAACACACATTTGGAAGTGAGTAGGATTGGATGATTGGAACCTTAGACATCATAATGTCCTTTACACTAAGGTGATAATTGCCTAGATACTTATTACAGCAGTGGTATTCTCCTCCATCTTGATCTAGTGTGCTCATTTCCTGCTCATCCAGTGATACACTGCTTTGCCTGCATCCCTCCTTCTTCTTCATTTCTGGTCATCTTTCTCCCTTTCTGACTCTCCTGGATAGGGTCTACTCATTTTCTTTACATGTACTTTGCATTTGTTTCCCTCCATTTGCCTCTCATTGAAAGTCATAAGTTACATCCACTTACCCCTCAAAGCTGTGCTTTTCACCTTCCTCAACTCTTACCTATGAAAGAACTGCCTTTTACTAAGCACAGAGAATGAAACAAATTTGCATTCCCAATTTCTTTCAGACCTGGAAACTAGACCTGGGAGCAAAAACTCAACTTCAGTGCAAGATTTTTCTAAAGAAGAGTCGTGCCAGGTTGCACTAATAGACAGGCTGACAAGGAATAATGTGTATGACTCCAATTTGGAAACAACTCTTGAATGTGAAAATTGGTTAGAGGATCAGCAAGGAAATCAAGACAGACACTTGAGAGAAATGTTCACCCACATGAATTCAATCCCTGAAGAAAGAGCTCGTGAGCATGATGTATGTTGGAAAAACTTAAGTCAGAAGTCTGTCCTCACTCAAGACAGAGTTCCCAAAGGATCCTACGACTTTCATGCACTTGAGAAAAGATTGAAACAGAAATCAAATTTAGTGAAAAAGCAGAGAACCTATACAGAGAAAAAGCCTCATAAATGTAATGACTGTGGTGAACTCTTCACTTACCATTCAGTGCTTATTCGACACCAGAGGGTCCATACTGGAGAGAAACCCTATAGCTGCCATGAATGCGGGAAATCTTTTAGCCACAGAGCTAATTTAACTAAACATCAGAGAACTCATACTAGAATTCTCTTTGAATGCAGTGAATGCAAGAAAGCCTTCACAGAAAGCTCATCCCTTGCAATACATCAGAGAATTCACATTGGAGAGAGACCTTATGAATGCAATGAATGTGGGAAAGGTTTTAATCGAAGCACACATCTTGTGCAGCATCAGTTGATTCATACTGGAGTGAAGCCTTATGAATGTAATGAATGTGATAAAGCTTTCTTTCACTCATCATCTCTCATTAAACATCAAAGAACTCATACTGGAGAGAAACCCTATAAATGTCAGGAATGTGGGAAAGCCTTTAGCCATTGCTCATCCCTTACTAAACATCAGAGAGTTCATACTGGAGAAAAGCCATATGAATGTAGTGAATGTGGAAAAACCTTTAGTCAGAGCACACATCTTGTTCAGCATCAGAGAATTCATACCGGAGAGAAACCCTATGAGTGTAACGAGTGTGGGAAAACCTTCAGCCGCAGCTCAAATTTTGCTAAACATCAAAGAATTCATATTGGGAAGAAACCATACAAATGTAATGAATGTGGAAAAGCCTTCATTCATTCATCAGCTCTTATTCAACACCAGAGAACTCATACAGGAGAGAAACCCTATAGATGTGATGAATGTGGGAAAAGCTTTAAGAGTAATTCATCTCTCACCAGACATCAAAGAATTCACACTGAAGAGCAACCTTGAAAAATTAATGTTAAGAGATGTAAGTTGGTTTTATCATTGCGTTAATTGCCTGAGTGTATAAGTGGAATCCCCATGAAATGTTGCTTGAGGACCAATTCTGTATGCATCTAATTGTACTTGCATAATGTATAGTTTTGAGCCACAGACAGAATGTTCCTTATATCCATTGATTTGATAAATATGAAAGCTCCTAACCAGACATCTAAAATTTTGATCCCCAACACCCAGCATGGAAATTCAAGAAATCCTTGAGAGTGGGTAGCAATATAAGCATTGTGAAATTCAGTTCTTCTCTTTGTTACATCAAAACCATGATAAAGCATTTCACTTTGTAAGGAATTTCTTAATAGGTTAGGCAGAAGGCACATATCCTAACCATTGGGAAGACACAGTTAATCCTCTTTGAATCCAAAGTAGAGATCCAGATACATAAATAGTGTCTTTTCTCCAGAGAATGTAATTTCTTTTATATTAGCTATAAAAACTTAAAGGTTAAGAGTTGAGATATGCTGTGGATTCCCTTCCCCTTCTGCCCGCCACCCCCCCACCACCACCACCAAAGGCTACTGTCTAATTAAATTAACATAACTGTTCACAGCATTTTCTAAGTTATGATCACTTGGATCATGCTGTTCATAGGTTTTGATCATTGCTATCCCTCTGCTGTATAGTGCTTCATCTTCTACTTCCTTGGAAGTTACCCTGAAGTAGAGAATGGGTCAAAAGCTTAGCTGCAGTTTTTTATCAAATTCCTCTTTTCTTATCCTTGCCGTTGAATGGATCCTTGATTTTCTATAACCACAATACCAGGGAGATTTCCTTTTTTCACATTATTCTGCTTTCTGTAAACTATGCTTTGTCACTTTTAGAGAAAGCCCCTGAGATGTTGAGGGTCTGAAAAGTTGATGGGTTCCATGTGTTATATTTAGGATCCCTGGCAAGAAGAACTGAAGAAACTCTGAGACATGGGACATATCTTCCAGTCAGATATGGAAAGTAGCTAATGGGACAGTGACTCACTTGAGGAAGAGCAGCTTCCTTCCATGAAGAAGTTTCCATTTCTGTGGCTTTCATGTTCACATGCATTTTTTGTCATTTTTATTCTCCCTATATGCCACTTTGTCTTTGCTGTATCCAGAACCCTCGAGTAAGTAAAAATACACAAAACCACAATGACACATTGACATAAGTTACATGTGTGACAAAGACCAGTAGTGGGATTGGTAACACAAAAGCAAAAGTTCAGAAAAATACTTAGGAAACCACTATTCAGATGTCAGTTTTTATTGGGTGAAAAGAAGTGTATAGATAAAATAGAGGAGAAAACTTAGTTACAGATTTCTTTCTCTTCTAAATTGTATCCTTTATTAACATTCACCAGCCAGTTCATGCTCTTGCCCCCTCCACATTAGTCCTATGAACATTGATACTATTACTGAGGAAAAATCGAGGTTAAAGAAGTGGTGGTAGAAGAGAGCAAGATCATTCAGGATAAATCAAATGTAAATCTGGTAATGATGGAAATCAAAGACAACAGTAGGAAATGTTTGGACCGAAAGGACTGGGAAGAAGTTTTGGAAACAAAATACATTGAAGGGGTCAAGGTGGGCGGAAACCCTCAAGGTCTGAGAGATCAGTGTGGGAGAATGGCTGACCCAGGAAGAAAAAGGAAAAGGAGCCCCACCTTTCACCTTAATATTCAATACACATAGTCTAAAGCAGGAATTGACAAAGCAGCCTGGACCCACATACCAAGTCCTGCCTACTGCCTTTTTCTGTAGATAATGTTTAATGGGACCTTGGCCACATTCATTTACATGTTGTATTTGTCTGTTTTGTGCTACAACAGCAGAGTTGACTAGTTCCAGCAGAGAGTGTCCCAAAAAGCCTAAAATACTTGCTATTTCTCAATAAGGCAAATGAGAGAAAATATATTTACCATTTGGGGGCCAAATATTGCCTAACAGTAAGATCAACATGGGCTTTTCAAAGCTGGGTTTGAATTGTGCCACCACCACTTAGCAATCATGTGACCTTGAAAAACTACTCTAAGCATCAGTTTCTTTATCTTTAAAATGAGAATAAATTATCCCTCTTTAATAAGGTTATTGTGAGGTTTAAATAAGTGTGTGGAAAGGACCTGACACTATGTAGAAAGCCTCTCTAGATAGGGAGATAGATATACCATCGCATTGGAGATTAGGTTTCTACATGAATTTGGGAGGATGTAAACTCTTGGTTTTTTTTCCCTATTTTAATGAAGTGGTGTCTTAGTATGGGCTGCTATAACAAAATTCCATAGACTGAGCTGCTTATAAACAGCATTCTCATAGTGCAAGTTCAAGGCCCCAGAAAATTCAGTGTCTGGTGAGGGCCTGCTCCCTGGCTCATAGATTACTGTCTTAGCTATGTTTTCTCATGATGAAAGGGCAAGGAGCTCCCTGGGACCTCTGTAAGGGCCCTGACCCCACTCATAGCTCTGCCTGCAGGCCCCTACCCCCCTACTACCGTCACATTGGGGATTAGGTTTCAACACGAATTTTGGGGGACACAAATTCAGTCTATAGCAAGTGTCTAAGCATCAATCAGAGATTACTTAAGAATGAGTGTATCTTGCACACCTTTTGTTTACTGATTAAGAACTGTGACCTACCCATCTAATCCCTCACTTCTTCCTGCTCTTGCTTCCAACTGGTGCTGCTCTCTACACAGTGTTTTGAGACCTTAAGGAATCTGCTTCTTTTCTTCCTGAGTGCTGTTTAACCAGGAGCTCTCTGATAGTTCCAGAGACTCAAGTTTGTAATCTAATTGCAGTTTAAATAGTGTCAAGAGATTTGCTCTAAGTTTTACCGAGGACCCTGGCCCTTTGCATATCAGTATTTATTCTTTCTATGCTTGGTGTTCATTCTTTGTGTTTGTACTTTTATATAAATCTTGGAAGTTTTAATGTTCTGCTTATTCAAATGTTTTTGATATAAACTAAATTTGACTGCTCTTACTGGCTTGCTGTCAATAAAGATGTTGTTTATATATTTATTGTCAGAAACTTCTGTAAATTGATTTTAAGTTCTCCTAATTTAAGCATATTTTGAGTTTAAAGACCAACTATAATATATCTCCATATTATTCAGGGAAACAATTCCATTTCTAATTGTTCTTCTGAGCTTCACAACTTTTGAGACATATGTTAGGGATACCCTCCATAGTCCATGTATCTGCAAGAAGGTTGAAGAGTTATTTGAAGGTTAAATCCATCAAATAACAAGAGAAGAGCATAAGAGGAAAAAAAGAACAGAAAATATATATTAAAAAACAACAAAACAGTTAATAAAATGGCAGTAAGTACATATCAATAATCACCTTAAATGTAAATGGACTGAAAGCACCAATCAAAAGACATAGAGTGGGATAATGGATAAAAGAAGAGGATCCATCTATATGCTGCCTACAAGAGACTCTTTTCAGACCCAAAGACATACACAGACTAAAAGTGAAGGAATGGAAAACCATATTTCATTCAAATAATAGGGAGAAAAAAGCAGGAGTAGCAGTGCTTCTATCAGACAAAATGGATTTCAAAACAAAGAAAGTGACAAGAGACAAAGGACATTACATAATGATAAAGGGATCAATCCAACAAGAGGATATAACCATTATAAATATCTGTGCACCCAACATAGGTGCACCTAAATATGTAAAACAAATACTAAAAATTAAAGGGGGAAATAAACTGCAACACATTCATTTTAGGAGACTTTAACATACCACTCACATCAATACACAAATCAACCAGACAGAGAATAAGTAAGGAAACAGGCACAGAACAATACATTAGATCAGATGGACCTAGTAGATACCTACAAAACATGCCACCCAAAAGCAGCAGGATACACATTCTTCTCAAGTGCATATGAAATGTCTTCCAAAATAGATTACAAACTAGGCCACAAAAAGAGCCTCAATAAATCCAGAAAGATTGAAATTGTATAAAGCAGCTTCTCAGACCACAATGGTATGAAACTAGAAATAAATTAAAGAAAACAAAAAGGCCTACAAACACATGGAGGCTAAACAACATGCTTCTAAATAATCAGTGGATCAATGACCAAATTAAAACAGAAATCAAGCAATACATGGAGATAAAACAAAAATTCAACAGCCCAAAACCTGTTGGACACAGTGAAGGCAGTTCTAAGAGGAAAATACACAGCAATACAGGCTTACCTCAAAAAACAAAAACAAGCCCAGATAAACAGTATAAAATCACAAAGAAACTAGAAGAAAAAAAGGACAAATGAAACCAAAAGTTAGTAGAAGGAGGGACATAATAAAGATCACAGCAGAAATAAATAAGATAGGGAATTAAACAATAGAAAAAAATGAAACCAAGATCTGGTTCTTTTAGAAAATAAAAATAGATAAACCCTTAGCCAGACATATCAAGAAAAAAGGAGACTGTACACACATAAACAGAATTAGAAATGAGAAAGGAAATATCACTATGGACACTATGGTAATCCAAAAAGATTATTAGAGAATACTATGGAAAATTATATGCTAACAAATTGGATTACCTAGAAGAAATGGACAAATTTCTAGAAAAATACAACCTTCCAAGACTGATCCAGGAAGAAACATAAAATCTGAACAGATCAATTACCAGCAATGAAATTGAATTAGTAATCAAAAAACTACCTAAGAAGAAAACCTCTGGACCAGATGGCTTCACTGCTGAATTTTATCAATCATTTAGAGAACACCTAGTGCCCATACTCCTAAAGATTTCCAAAAAGTAGAAGAGAAGGAAATACTTCCAAACTCATTCTATGAGGCCAGCATCACTCTACCAAAACCAAAGAGACCTCAAAAAAAGAGAATTACAGACCAATATTTTGATGAGCATAGATGCAAAAATCCTCAACCAAATACCATTTGACCCAGTAATTCCACTCCTAGGAATTTACCCAAAGAAAACAATTTACCTGATTCAAAAAGACATATGCACCCCTATGTTTATCACAGCACTATTTACAATAGCCAAGAAATAGAAGCAACCTAAGTGTCCATCAGTAGATGAATGGATAAAGAAGATGTGGTACATATACACAATGGAATACTATTCAGCCATAAGAAGAAAACAAGTCCTATCATTTGCAACAACGTGGATGGAGCTAGAGGGTATTATAAGCCTCAGTGAAATAAGCCAGGTGGAGAAAGACAAGTATCAAATGATTTCACTCATTTTTTGGAGTAAAACAACAAAGCAAAATTGAAGGAACAAAACAGCAGCAGACTCACAGACTCCAACAAGGGACTAGCAGTAACCAAAGGTAAGGGGTTGTAGAAGGTGGATGAGGAGGGAGGGAGAAGGGGATTAAGGGGTACTATAATTAGCAATCACAATACAGGTAGGTCACTGGGAAGGCAGTACAGCACAGACAAGACAAATAATGACTATAGCATCTTAGTATGCTGATAGTGACTAATGGGGTGGCAGTGGGGACTTGATAAATGTGAGTGTTGAAATCACAATATTGCTCATGTGAAACCTTCGTAAGATTGTTTACCAATGATACTTAATATAAAAAATAATATATACAATAACATAAAAAAGAAAATATACTTCTAAAGAAAATAGAGAAGAAAATATTTGCATATGTAATAAATGTGAAAAAGTTCTGTGACCCTAGAACCCTACTCTACAAGCAACAAGACATATGCACCCCTGGTTGGCAGGGTAACCATTTCAGAATGAATCCTGTTGTTCACAGTCATCTAGTAGGTACATCCATATGAAAACAAGTTTTCCCTTGCCCTACAGGTGATATCATTGACTAGAATGAATAAAACAGGGTCAAAATGTGTGGTAGCACAGCAGGAAACAGTAAGTTCAATTTGGGACAGGTTCTATTTGAAGTATTTAGAGGGACCTTGAGCAGGTTAGGTAACCTCTCTTATCACCTCATCTGGAAAATGGAATAATAATATATACATACCTCAGACTGTTGTAAGAATTTAATTAATATATGTAAATTTCTTAACAGTGTGCCTAGTCCACAATAAATTCTATACACCTTAATCATGTATCTAGAGCTCACAAGTTTAGTTTGAACTACAGATAACAATTTGGGAGTCATCAACATATCAATGGTTGTTCATGACCTGGGGGTGGGTCAGCATACAAGAAACAGAGAGAACCAAAGAGAGTGTGAAGTAAATTGCAAAATTTCTAGAATCTCCCACCTAACCTTAGTTCATTTACATATCAATAAGTGTTTGTTACTGCAGAGCCTCCCCACTATCTCGGGAAGGGGTGCAGAGTGAGCAGCTGATCCCTCCTTACCTCTGTTCCTGGTACATAATTGTTTTGGTGTCTTCCAGTCACCAAGGACCTCCCAATGGAGTTCCTCCTGGAAGGGGCGGGAAGTAGAGGAGTAGAGCATGAGCGGAGGCTGGAGGAGATGGATGGTGCAGGGCCTCGCTAGTGAATTCAAGCAAGCTGTGAGCAATAAAAACAGTTTCTTGCAACCTGTCCTTTCCCTTGACTTATTTTGGTTTCAACAGTTTCATAAGGGATTCACCCCAGACCAGGAACACCCAGCAACGGAGAGGAACACCAAAGAGAGACCGTTTAACACCGTGAGAAGTGGGCCCAGAAGAGGCATCATAAATGAGCTCTCAGAAAGGTCTCTGAACCTGTAGGCCTGATGCTTGAAGTTGGTGTGGGATCTGACTATGGAGAGAACCTTCTCCTGTTTAAGGGGGGGTGTGGATAAAATTGTAACATTTCCAGAGTATCTCACCTGGCTGTAGTACATTTGCATATCCTCAGGGGTGAAGAGAAGTTCATCTCCATGTCAATGAGTAATTACCTGGGCAACCAAAAGCACGTCTGAAACTGAGAGTTTAAGGGGAGGGGCTAGCTTGCTTGCTGGCTGGCTTCTTCCAGAGCAGGGGGAGAGAGATGGCAATGGACTGCAGTTTGTAAGCAATAAACAGGTTTTAAACTTTATTTCTCCCTTTGACTGATTTCAGTTTTTAGAGGTATTTTGCTCTGGGATTTCCTCTCCCCAGACTTACATCTGGTGTAGTTGGCAGGATGCCCTTGAACCCCAAATCTGTCATAATAGGTGCAACCTTTCAGAGGGCTGCTCCTGTGGATGGTGGGGAGGCCCCAGTGGATGCAGTGGCAGAGGGTGCCACTTCACCTGTTTATTTCCCCAGCTGTGGGGCTTCCAAGTTAGGAACCCCTAGTGGGGAATTGGTCTAGGGTAAAGTACCTCTTAGAGGGGTGGGGCCTTCCCCAGAACTGAGTAAGGGTGGAAACACTGGAAGCTGCAGAATTAGCCATCCTTGAGTTGGAAGACTGCTTGGAGACCTTAGGGGGCCATGTAGTGGCTGGAATTGTAGGGTCTCTTTTCATCAAGATAGTGGAAAATGTTATACAGGAGAAAGAGGATTATGGAGAGGTTTAGTGAGGAGAGGGAGAGGGACAGGTGGGAGAGAGACACACTTCAGCATTGCTTGGAGGGGCTGGGTGGTAACCTATGGGATGCTGTTAAAGAAATGAGACAGTTACTCAAAAGGCAGGTCATGCTCCTAGAAGATTCCTTAGCAGCGGCGATGGGGGAGATGGCAGGAAAAGCTGCATTGTAGGAGATCATGGGGGAGGGGGAGGAAAGAGTAGTGCCTTCAGCTCCAGAAATGGAGGAAAAGTCATTGGTGAAGAAGGCCAAGGGAGAAGAGGAGGTGGGGCCATTGGCAGATCTGCTACCCAGGCCACTACCAGAGGTACCAACTTCTCCTGTTTTAAAGGCCCACCTGGCTGTAATTAAGAAAATAAAAATGAAACAACTGTGGGCTCCTCAGGGGGAGCAGCAGCCCCTCCCCAGGTTGGGGAGCACTCCATGCTCCGCCCCTATACCCAGGATGAGGTGGTGAACATGACAGTCCGGTATAGGCAGAGGCCAGCGGAATCTCTGCCTACATGGCTTTTACGTCTCTGGGATATGAGGGTGGAAAACATTGTTGTGTCAGGTACAGAGATGAGTAGAATGGCTTCCCTGATGACTCACCCTTCTCTTCGGCAGTGGTTGCAAAATGCCCATCACACCTCAGGGAATCAGACACTCCTGGAATGGCTGACAGTTGCCATCAGGATAGTTTGGCATGATCAGGGTGATTTACTATATTTTCCCAGTAGTTGGAAAACATATGCAGAGCTCCAATAGGTACTGTGGGAATTGGGTATGAAAAATATCATCTATAATATGGACCCCCAGGGCCCTGATGAGGAGGTGTTCACTGTAGGAATGAGAAACCTGATGCTGCACAGAGCTCCCACGTCTCTCTTTGGGTCCCTAGTGAATACTCTTGCCCCCCACCTAGGGCAACCCATAAGTGAGGCTACTCATACTTTAGCAGATCTGGGGGAGGTTGAAACAATAAGGGCACGCAGGGAAGTATGTGCCATGACTGAAAGGAGAGGTGCAAAGGGCCCCGTGAAGGTCTCAAGGACCCAGATGTGGGGTGATTTGATAAACGCCGGGATAGTGAAAGAAAAACTTGATGGGCAGCCCAACAGAGTATTGTTAGAACTGTGGCATCAATTAAAGCCAGAGCAGCAGTTCCAGCCGCTGAGGTCCAGGACACGGGAACCAGGGTCAAGGCCTCATGCCTGGCCTGTATCCCTGCAAAACTTCATAGGAGACAGTACTCAGGATTCGCCTGGGCCCTCACCTCCACAGGAGGATGATTGGGCATCATGGTTTGACTGAGGGCGGGTGTCAAAGTCCCCACTTTGGGAGACATGGTGGGGACAGAGGCCACATGTAGAGTTAGCGATTCATTGGTCCCCTGTAAATGTACTACGTGTCCTGGCGCTGGTGGACTCAGGCGCTGAGTGTTCTTTGATTCATGGCAACCCTGAGCATTTTCCCAGGACCCCTGGGAGATAGGGCGTTTAGCCCCAAAGGAGTATACCGTGTACATTTTTCCCATCCCTGAATATATTTTGGGGGTAGATATCCTGCAGGGCCTGTGGTTACAGACGCCTGTAAGTGAGTTCAGACTGAGGGTACATGTGGTAAAGGCAGTTCTGAGGGGACATGCTAAGCACCCACCTGTATCTCTGCCTGTACCTCGGCGGGTGACAAATACTAAGCAGTATAAATTGCCTGGTGGGCACAAGGAAATTGGAGAAACTCTACAGGAGTTGGAGAGGGTGGGCATCATAAAGCCCACTCATAGTCCTTTTAATTCCCCAGTGTGGCCAGTGAGAAAGCCAGACAGCTCCTGGCATATGACTGTAGACTACAGGGAATTGAATAAAGTCACACCACCTTTGCATGCTGCTGTCTGCTCTATAGCAGCCATTCTGGACACCCTCAGCCATGAACTGGGAACATATCATTATGTAGTAGACCTTGCTAATGCTTTCTTCTCTATTGACATAGCACAGGAAAGTGAGGAACAGTTTGCCTTCACGTGGGAAGGCCAGTAGTGGACATTCACTGTCCTTCCACTGACCTTCCACAGTCCCACCATCTGTCATGGACTTGTAGCCCAGGACTTGGCCACATGGAAGAAACCACAAACAGTGCTGTTGTATCACTACATTGACGACATTATGCTCAAGTCTGATTCTCTTGCAGATTTAGAAGGGGCAGTTCCTAGTCTGTTGCAACATACAGGAAAAAGGATGGGCTGTGAACAGCAACAAGGTTCAGCGACCTGGTTTGTCTGTGAAATTCTTGGGGGTTGTCTGGTTGGGTAAAACTCAAGTTGTTCCTGAAGCAGTTATAGACAAGGTTCAGGCTTTCCCCACCCCTACCACTGTGGCAGTATTACAAGAGTTTTGGGGTCTTTTGGGCTGCTGGAGAGTGTTTATCCCGCACATGGCACAAATTCTGAAGTCCTTATACAGGTTGGTATGAAGAGACATAAGGTGGGACCGGGATGAGACATGTGCAGCTGCTTTTACTACTGCCAAGTGGGCAGTCAAAGTTGTACAGGCCTTGAGTGTAATGGACTCACCAAGGCGCTGTGAACTAGATGTTCATGTAACCAAAGATGGTTATGGATGGGGTCTGTGGCAGCGGCTTGAAAGGACACACCAACCTATTGGATTCTGGTCATAACTATGGAAAGGAGCAGAGGTCCGATACACCGTGATAGAGAAGCAACTGGCTGCTGTGTACCATGCCTTGCTGGCTACAGAGCCCATTCCTGGAACAGCTCCAACCAAGGTAATAACCACCTATCCCATTGTGGGATGGGTGTGAGACTCTACTCAGAGGCCACGGAGTGGTATGGCACAGACACCTACACTGGCCAAAGGAGGCACATATTTACAGCAGTACAGCACCCTCTCTACTAGCCCCTAAAACGGAGAACTCCAGTGCTTGTTGGGGCCAGTGACCTATACCATTGGAAAGCAGGAAGAACTTGCTTTTCAGCCCTTGGTAGCCAAGACTCCTTATCAGGAAGAAAAGCCCCTATACCTGAAGATGCTTAGTATACAGATGGCTCCAGTCATGGGCAGCCCCCAAAGTGGAGGGCTGTGGCTTTTCATCCTAAGACTGAGCAATATGGATGGAGGATGGAGAGGGGAAGAGCAGTCAATGGACTGAGTTGCGGGCAGTATGACTCATGATCACCCAGGAGCCCTCCCCCATAGTTGTCTGCACTGACAGCTGGGTTGTCTATCAGGGCTTGACCCTGCGGCTACCGACATGCTATCATACCAACTGGACGATTGGTCACCAGCCCCTTTGGGGGCAAGAGTTGTGCTAAGACCTATGGACCTCTGGTCAGACTAAGACGGTTACTGTGTATCATGTGACTGGTCATTTGCCTTTGGCATCCCCAGGGAATGATGAAGCAGACACATTGGCCCAGGTGCGCTGGCTAGAAGGAAAGCCTGCCTCTGATGTGGCCCAATGGCTGCACCAGTGTTTGTTGCATGTGGGGCAAAAGACAATGTGGGCTGTAGCCTGTTGGTGGGGCTTGCCATTGACCTTTGAAGAAGTCAGCAGAGCCCAGAAGGAGCGCCTTGTGTGCTCTAAGAGAGACTTACATCAAGTCCCACAGCAACATGGGACAATAGTAAGGGAGCCAATACCCCTTGTCAGGTAGCAAATAGACTACATTTGGCCTCTGCCCATATCAGAAGGATATTGGTATGCCATGACTTGTGTGGACACGGCTACTGGCTATTGGTTGCTTTTCCTGCACGTCGTGCAGATCAGCAAACCATCAAAAGGGGCCTAGAGTGTCTCTGCAGCCTATGGCCAGCTGCAGGTAATTGAGAGCAATCAAGGCACCCACTTTACTGGACATGCGTTATAAGAATGGGTGTAACAATTAGAAATAAACTGGAAATTTCATATACTATATTATCCTACTGGGGCAGGCATGATAGAGAGGTACAATGGTTTGTTGAAATCTGGCCTGAAGTTGGACACCAATAGTCTACGGGGTTGGTCAGTTTGCCTATGGACAGTGCTGCTGCGTTTGAATGAGAAGCCACATAAAGGAGCTTTGAACCCTATGGATATGCTAATACACAGTGCTGCCTCTCCTATACAATTGTACGTCCAAACCAAAGAAGAGTTATTGAAGCCAGGATATGGCCAGCAGAGCAACATCCTGCTGCCAGTCCCTACTGCATTAAGCCCTGGGGACACTGTTGAATGGAACTGGCCCTGGACATTTCAACACATGGACCAGCCATGGCTGGCCCTTCTGGCACCTTGGGGGAAAGGCCTGGAAACTGGTCTCCTGTATATTCCTGGAATAACAGCTGAATGGCCCCCAAGGGTCATGGTAGCATACCCTAAACGTCCAGGAGGTAAGAGCATCTCGCAGGGAAGTTTTGTTCTATCTTTACAGCCAGTGCATGTACCTCCTATAGCCTTATATATCGACCCATCTGTAACTCCCACAGGGAGGGGCATGAAAGTCTGGTATACTAGACCAGGATGAGATCCCATTCCTGCCACTGTTTTATTACAAGACCACTCTCTTGCATGTATCCTACCTGATGGACAAGATTTGCCTATGCTGGTGTCATTAAAACATGTATCTTACCGCCCTTAAGGTTATTTTCTCCTACAGTCCTTGTGGCCTGAATGCGCCCCCTGGCTGCCGCTGCCGAGTGATGATTGCTCTGAACCCTCAGCTACTGCCTGCCTATGGAATGGACGAGCTGTGGACTTAATCTGCATGGAACTTTGAACCTAGCTGAATCCTCTAGCTTGAGAATTATCATCATTGTGTTGCTGTTGTCAAGAAAAAAATGCTTCAAGAGAGGCTTGACTTTGTCTAATGTTTGGTAACATGGTTGTGAGGAATGAGTAAACAAGTGTAGAAACATATTTTGTGCTGCATAGGTTGAATCCTCTGGCTTGAGGATTATCATGATTTTATGCTGTTGCTATTGTTATGTCATTAGTCTAGTCACAATGCTTGTTTTCTCGCCCAGGACCGTGTGGAAGAAGGGGAATGAGTAGATTGTAAAGAGATTTCTGGAGGGGTGGCCTGTGGGTAAAACTAACATTTCTAGAGTATCTTACCTGGCTTTAGTACATTTGCATATCCTCAGGGGTGGAGAGAAGTTCACCAATGTCAATGGGTAATTACCTGGGCAACCGAGGGCGTGTCAGAACCTGAGAGTTTAAGGGGAGGGGCTGGCTGGCTGGCTTGCTTCTTCCCGAGAAGGGGAGAGAGATGGCCCTGGACTGCAGTTTGTAAGCAATAGACAGGTTTTGAACTTTATTTCTCCCTTTGATTTTGGTTTTTACAGATATTTTGCCCCGGGATTTCCTCTCCCCGGACTTACAGGGGGTTGCTTCAAAGTACCTGAATGTTCTCCACTTGACCAAGGCGGTGGAAAATACCGTTTTGGGGTATTAGGAACAGAACTGGGGCAGTGATAAAACAATATTTAGCCCAACAGTCAAAGGAGGAAGTTCTGTTGCAGAGGCGCAGGACGAGGCACCGCTGTCTACACTGTGGTTTTCGGTCACCAGCCCGCATTTTCACAGTCACACGTGCTCCTGACGCCGTCTCTCCAGCCCGCTGTGCTCGCGCCAGGCCTAGGAGACTGCCAGCTCGGCACAGCGGAGGAAGCCCTGGGCGTTGGCCCCTCGCCTCGGGCTGACCCGCCCCTGAAGCGGGAGCCGAGCTGAGGCGCCCGGCGCGGAATCGCGGCTGACAACTACCGCGGAGCCCAGAGCCCTCGGTGCCTCGGCGCCCGTCTGTGGTCAGCAGCCTGTTCGCGGAGGGCCTGGGCGCCGGCCCACACACGGCCAGGAGGAGGAGGCCGATGGGGGCACCTGGCCGGGGACCCTAAAAAGTGCTGGCGGCGGTGTGTTTCTTGCCTTCTCGGTCTCACACCCGGAGACCTGCGCTGCCTGACAGGTGGGCGTTCTCTTCTTTCTGGCTTTAATCTGGTCACTTTTTTGTAAACTCGTTTTCATCCAGTGATTCAGATCATCACTTTCAGTTTCTACTCTGTCCCGATTGCAACGGTTGGGGACTGCTGGACTGGGGGGTGGCTGTGAAGGCCATACAAGTCATGATCTCTTATTATTTGACACAGCAATTCAGCAGCGAGTGAAGTTTTTCCCTGATAAGGTACCCAAGCTGCTTATGCTTCCCCTTATTTTGGTCATCTTGGTTGAGGAGATCAAGACTTCTACAACACCTGGAAAAGGATTTGGCACAAGTGCCAGGAAGCAACTGGGCCTCTACAGGACAGCAGAGGAGTAAGTTAACCAAAGCCCCCAAACTGAAGTAAGTTGCCAAAATCACACTTCCTAGCAGTGGAATCAAGACACAGAATCACTGAGCCAAAGAGCATACAATTTCATACATGATATTTACTGTCAAGTTGTATTACTTATTACTGTTTATAATCACCATCGATGTATGAGAATACTTGATTCCTCACATTCCTTCCACATTTGGTATTGTCAGACTTTATTTTATCGTTTTATTTTTAATGAAATTGATAGCACACTGCTGATTGCTGCTACTTTTTATGTTTATTGGGCATTGCATTTCCTGTTGCGAGTTATCTATTTTTGTCCACTTTTCTTTAATCATTAAATTTTATATTAGATACAAATAACACATACATCAATTTTCAAGTATATAAAAACAAAACCCCAACCTTTACAGGTAAAGCTAAAGATTCCTTTGATCACCACCACTAATATCATGTCCTCATCCTTGTTCAGTGGGAACCGCTGTTGTCCCTAAAATATATGTTTTTAGAGTTTCAAATAGTTCTACAGCCTGAACCCACTGATTAATCATAGCACTGAAGAAAGACAACCAGAAATGAGTCTCGTGATGGGCAATAAGAAACACACAGTAGCATATAGGAAGTAGTCTTGTCCAAAAAAAATTGAACCTGAGTTTAATTAAGCCTCTACATTCAGTTATACCAGTTTACAGGAAATATTGGAGGACAAAGGAACAAATTAAATAACAGGAAAAAGCCATATCGGAATGTGGGATCTTCTACTGTACAAATAACAGTCGCTCCAACGAATCAATGTGAAGGAGGGAAAAAGGGAAGAGGGGATGGTTACAGAATAAATGAGACTTAAGACACAACACACCAAACCAAACATGTGAACCTTGTTTGGATTTGAATAACCAATAGAGGGGATGGTTACAGAATAAATGAGACTTAAGACACAACACACCAAACCAAACATGTGAACCTTGTTTGGATTTGAATAACCAACTGTAAAAATATATATTTCAGACAATCAGGAAGAGCTAGTGAGGTGATATTAATATGAGAAAATGATATTAAAAATTATTGATTTTGTTAGATGGGATAATGGCATGGTAATTACATTAAAATTTTTCAAATCTTCAGTTTAAAGATTCTCATGTATTTACAAGTAAAATGATACAATGTTTTACAAAAATGATGGAGAAGGAGTAAATAAAACAAAATGAGCAAAATATTGTTGAAGCTGGATGAAGGGTCCCTGAAGGTTTATTAGATTATTCACTCAACTCTGTGTATACTAAATTTTCTATAATTAAAAGCTTGTGAAATACTTTTACATATACTTACTAACTCAAAAATGTTGATAGGAATATTGTGTAGTACATAGGGATATTTTTATAAAATGGTATTATACTGTGTCTAATTCGCAACTTGTTTTTATTTTCAGTATATTTTTGTGGTCTATCCATGTTGAGATACAATTTTAGTTTATTTCTTTTAGGTTCACTGTGGTATTTCATTGTATGAGTATACCACATATTTATTTATTTATTTATTTATTCTCCTGTTAACAGACATTTAGATTGTTTCTTTTCTTTCCCCTAATACAAAGCTGCAATGATAGGATAACATTTCTCTAGAGACAGAGTTTCTCTAGAAGTAGAAGTCATCAGATATACCTATGTTTCCTTTTAATAAATATTGTCAAATTTCCTCTAAAGTGACTGTAACCCTATATGGAATGATTAGCTACCTATTCTCTTGCTAAATCTGATGTTACCAAATTTTATGCTTTTGCCAGTTGATGACTTCTTGTTTTAATTTGATTATTAACAATATCAAATTTTTGATTTAATGTATCTGATTATTAATGATATCAAACATCTTTTCATTTTTTTATTTCCAGTTATGAATTAAAATAGTTTTAAAAATAGCTCCTTTCCTTACTTCCCCTAAAACATAAAATGGTAGCTGTAGCCAAACACAGACCACAAAAAGTTAGGAAGGGCAACACTAATACTAGTATCAAAGAATGAAAAGCAATATACTAAATTAAGACTTGTTAGGGTCTGGGCTTCCGAGGCTTCTCCAGAGAACAAACTACACAGGCATAGAGATGTAAATTCAAGCAAAGTCTTTATTCAGCCAGCTAGCTGGGGTCCAAGTGTCAGCCCGACACAGCGGGTCTCAACAAGGACCCCGAGCACTCAGAGCCAAGGGTTTATATAGCATTTTCAAAGCACTTAACTCATAGTAATTTTCCACAACTATACATTATTCTTGCAAGACATACATCCTGGGGTTAAGCAAGGGCAGGGTAAGACTACTCCTCAATGGTTAGGGAGGTTCTGCACGATAAGCTTGGTATGTAAGATTTACTGAGCAAGGTTAGCTGACCAAGGGTCACAGCTGCCCACCACCCGGTGCTCATGATTAACTTGTTTTTCAAGGCCTTACCCAGGCCCAGGTTTTTTTTGTTTTTTGGGGGTTTTTTTCCTTCTTCCTGAGTCACCCCCTCAGAAAATGGTTTCTAGGTTTCTAAGATGGCTATGCTTATGCTAATTTACTAATCTTACTAATGCTTAGATTCTACATTTCCCCACTTTCCTTTGACCATTCCAATCATGGAATGTTTGTTTCTTCCTGCTGTGTGAGTGAATGATACTGCGGTCTCAGCATTAGCACCTGAACAGCACTCACTCTTTCCCTAACAAAGGCTATTAGCCGGTTTAAGATACAGGGACCTAAAGTGAGAAGCAGTATAAAAATAAGCAAGGGCCCTGCCAGGGTGGATATCAGGGTTGTAAACCATGGGGATTTAGTAAACCAGGATTCAAATAGCCCTTGGCTGGCCTCTCACTTTCTCTTCCTTTGATCTGGCCTCTCTCTAAGTTTAGACATTGAATCTCTTACTATTCCGGAATGGTCTGCTGTTAAGGTTTAGCTAAGTTTTATTAGTTCTTTTTCCTGACTCTTAATGCTCTCTGCACTCCTTTACAGACTCATTAATAGAATATACAATCAACAATGAAGATATTATACTTTTAGATACATTGTGTAACTTGAAAATATATAAAGCCAAAATTAAACATTTTGACACACAAAATAGAAAGATAACAATTGGTCTGGAAGACTAATTCTTTTCTATCAGTCTGTGACATGAATTATATATTTTTAAATAGGGATGTAGAGGACTTAAATTACATATTTAATAAGGCCAAACCTATAAATAAAAATGCATATCTTGAGTTTATAATACATGAATAGACTCTACCTTTGTGGGCATTCATGGAACATACACAAAATGTATTGCATATTTAGCCCAAAGCAACCTTCAGGAAATTACAAACATTAGAAATTGAAGGATGACATGGTTTTTACAAGCTAGTCCAAATGAATCGAATTCAAGTTTGGATAAATATTGTTTTATATGAACCATTTAAGAGAACAATAAAATAGAGCAGATTTTCTATGAAAATAGAAGTAATATGAAGCTAACATTTTCTAATTATTTAATAAATTGATTCTTCATATGCTTCCCAAAAGGGAAGGAACTTAATTCTCCATTAAATGATAGGGAAAAAAAGTGAAATATATGATCTTAATGTAGTGAGTTGTAGATGGACATAACTGTAGTGGTGAAGGCATGGGCATTGGAATTCGATCTCATTTCACATCCTATCGCCACATTTTATTAGCTGTATTACCAACCCCAGAAATGTGGGATGTAACCCCTGTCAGCCTCAGTTATCGTATCTTGAAAATGTGCAAAATTATAGCTTCTGTATGAGGTTGTGATAATGGATGTAAATCTTCATATAGTTCCCTCAAACAAGGAAGGCACTCCATACAGATCTATTTCCTCCTCTTTGCTGTACCTTTACCCGATTTCCAGAGCACATCTCTCTTGCGGATGTGACTGGCCTCTGTAAAATAATGAAATAATGAAAGCCCTGGCCACAAGGACCAAGCATCAGCGACCTGTGAGTAAATGAAACAACTCCTGCGACCCTTCTGAGGTGGGATGGGATGAAGGAGACTGCCAAAGTCACAGTCATATGAATTGGCATGTCAGGACTTCTGGCCCAAAGTGTCTGGGATTTTCCAGGTAGGTCTTTTATCTCATCTTCAGGCAAATGTCTTCTCAGGACTTCCCAGGACTCTGCCAAAGAGGAGAATCCCAAACGAAGAGGTTATGGCTGTTCTGGACTTATCAGTTTTGCCTTTTTTCTGTTTCTGAGCAGCTGTTTTGGTTTTCACTGACTAATACAGAAGTTTGTAAGGAAAAGACTGAAGTCTGTTCTTATCCCTTCAGTCCCACCCCCAGAAATAACCAGTGTTGGCAAGTTTGGCATATGACTTTAGGATTTTGTATAGCTTGTGTGTGTGTATGTGTGTGTGTGTGTGTGTATATGCATGTGCATGCAGGCACACACATGTGAGAAATAATGTGAATAGGTAGATGCACCTTGTTCTTCAAATGATTGTATATTGCATCATATAGTTGTACCATAATTTATTAGTTCATTCCTCTTTTGATTGGTGACTTTTATACATAGTGCTACAGCAAGAAATTTTGCATAGATATTCTACAAACTTGTATTCATGCTAAAGATTCAGATAGATTCCTCTAAAATGCCCTTCAGAAGATAGTACAGCTTATATTCTGACCACTAGTGAATGAGAAAGAAAACTTTTAAAGGGCAATATTAGATGCCATCAAGCTTCTGCATTTTGCCAGGCACATCTTGGTGAGAAAAGGTATCATAGTGTTTTAATTATTTATTTCTTTAATGAATAATGAAAATAAGCATATTTTCATATTTATTAGACTATGCACAAGAGGTCTCTAGAACAATAAGGAAAAGATAGACAGATGATAGGTGATAGATAATGATGATAGATGATAGATAGATAGATAGATAAATAGATAGATAGATGATAGATAGATAATAGATGATAGATAGATAGATAGATAGATAGATAGATAGATAGATAGATAGACAGACTACTGACTGACCAACCCTTGAACAACATGGGTTTATGGTACATAATATATATAACATATAAAATATGTATTAATCAACTGTTTATGCTATTATTAAGGCTTCTAGTCAACAGTAGGCTACTTGTAAAGTTTTTGGAGAGTCAAAGTTACATGGGGATTTTTGACTGCATGGTGGTCCTGCCCCTACTCCCCATGTTGTTCAGGGGTCAGCTGTGTATTTGTATATATCTTTTGGGAGATATTTACTTAGATCTTTTTGGAGATATCTATATCTCCCAATGGAAAAGTGGGTCATCTTATGAAGGACTTCCCTACCCAAAATTTTGGGCAATTCCTGTTTTCATTTAGTGTATTTATAATTTCAGTTACAGATTTGCAACATGGAATTTATTTTTAGGGATCAATGAGGTAAAGATACATTTTTCCAAATGAGTAGCCAAATGCCTCTGAAACATTTTTTAAATGATGGATGTTTTTCCCAGTTATGTGAAATGCTGCCTGTATTATACACCAAATTGATCTATGTAACTGGTACTGTTTCAGTACATCCCACTCTGGGATGGCCAAAAAGTCTTTGATAAGAGTATTACTGGCTGTTCAGCTGCAGGAGTGGAACAATGCCTAAATCAAAGGAACGTGTTTCTTCAAGCTCTTCCGTCAGCGATTGTGACAGTGAAGTGGACAAAAAATTAAGAGGAAAAGGCAAGTTACTCCAGAAAAACCTGTAAAGAAACAAAACTGGTGAAACTTCAAGAGCCCTGTCACCCTATAGGCAGAGCAACAGCAGCAGAGATGATAACATATTTCAGATTGGGAAAATGAGGTCCATCGGTGTTCGGGACTTTAAAGGGAAAGTCCTAGTTAATATTAGAGAATATTGGATGAATCTGAAAGGTGAAATCAAACCGGAAAGAAAAGGTATTTCTTTAAATCCTGAGCAATGGAGCCAGCTGAAGGAGTGGATTTCTGACGTTGATGCTGCAGTAAGAAAACTGTACAATCAGAGCCATATAAAACAGGTACTATTCTAGTTGTTTTAATGTCTTTCTACATTGGCTTTTGTTTTCTAAACATTATTTTCCAAGCTATTGTATATTTGGATTGCAAAACAATATGTAAGATGAATATATGTTCTTAATGTGCATTATTAAAAATATTCTGAATGAATCTAATTGTCAACTTGATTAAGGTGGGTTGTTTTGTACTCACCACCTAGTATAAAATAAAATCAAGTAATACAAGCTTTAAAAAAATGGAGCATTACTACAAAGTAAAAGATCAGCTCCCCAAATTCTCTGGGAATTTGGCATGCTCGATTCAATACTCATTCACCTTATGAATAAATCATACTTGTTGGATATATTGTTTTCTTGACATCGATGGACCACATGACTAAATGAATTTTCACTGTGTTTGTGAGGGAAAAAAAAGACAAATACTAAGAAATTGAATTGTGATCCTAGATGATTGAATCTTTTATGAATGTTTCAGCAGCAATCATGTTTTTGAAGGATACTGGGAGGTAGTATAAAGTGAGTTTGTTTTTGTGTTGTGCTTGTTTTGTGCCTTAAGAGTTATGTAGATACAGTATAACTTCATTTATACAGTTATAGCTCAGTGTGAGATCCAGAATCCAAATCAGCTCTTTTGACATTACATGTTTATAACACACTGCTGTGGCTCCACTTTGGAAGTAGACATTCAATTTCTTGTTTGTTTCTTTACTATACACAGTCCCTATTTAAGAGCCTGTACACTCATATTTATTGAATGAATTTTGGGCACATCCTTGTTAGCATACCACATACCAATGTACTTCAAAGTCTGATTGAGTTACCTCTAAAACACAATTTATGTTTTTCCATCTCCAATGTGATCATCCTAGTCCATCCTACAGCCATCATTTCCTGTCTGGAATAATGAAATAATTTCTGGACTGTTTTTCCTGCTTTTATGCTTGCTCTTCACTACTGTTCTCATTAGACTTTAAGCTTATTCAGATCTCTTCTACCTTAAAACCAATCCTTCATCTTGATGACACAGTCAACTATTATTTTATTATTCTCCTTTCCTTCCCAGCTAAACTTGATGGCCACCCTTCCTTATCCCATTCATTCCTCGCCATCTGCAGTTTTCCAGTCCTACCATTCCACCACAACTACCCACCAAAGTCAGCCACCATCTCTGCTGTTAGAGCCAAAGGAAGCCTTTCATTTCTTATTTTACTCCATCTCTCAAAATCCAGTACCATCAGTGACACCAAACTTGAAATGCTGTCTGTGCTCTTGCCTTCTTGCCTTTGAGTTTTACTTCTGGGCCGTTCCTTGCCAGTTTCCCTCAGTCAAATGGCCTCAGCCTGCCTGATCACTAAACCGTGAGTTCCTTAATGATGGATCACTTCGGATCCCCAGTGCTTAGCACAGTGTTTGGCATGTAGTAGGGCTCACTAAATACATGTGAAATTAATGACTGAACTGTGTCTTTTTTAAGTTAATTTTTATTTATATTGAATAACATATGCACAAAATTGAAAATCAAAGAACTGAAAGGTTTATAAGCCAAAACCCAGAATTCTTCTGCACACCAGAAGCAAACACTTCAACTCTTTGAGCTGTCCTTGTTTTTTTTCTTAATTGATGTCTGTATTTCTAATAAGCCATTCTTTCTTGATATGTCACTTTTAACCTTGTACTTAACTCTACCTTGCTTCTCCCATCTTCTCAACATAATTATATCACAGATGGGGAATAAGTCATTAGTTGGCATGTACTTATGTTACAGAAAATACTGAAGAAACCTGGACTGGATCACTGATGGAAGAACCAAGCGACACTTGGAGGTCTTGGAGTGTTGAGGGTTTATTTTACACCGCCGGGCTCAGAGGGGAGTAATCTCCCAAGGTCTAAACCCCAAATAAAGGCAATGGGAACAATACATATCTGTCTGCTTCTGTATCTGTAACATTCCTCAGTGCACAGCAAGTGGGCAGGCAAGTGGGAGAGAGTTTAGGGAGTGAACCTAGGGAGTGGGTGCTCGGCAGAGCAGGAAATAAAAGGAGTGTTTTTGTTGTTTGTGTTAAGAAGAGAGAGACAGAGGGGAGCCACCTGGACTAGACTGCTGTCCTTGTAAATTTTTCCCTATCACTTCCCCCTGTGATGCCCCTTCACTTTGTTTTAGGGAGTGTCTTGCCAGTGGGTTTCAGCCGTGGGCAAGTTTGCTATGGATTCAATGTGACCAAAGAATTTGACAGCAAAACATTCTTGGGGTGAAAGGATTATACCCAACTTTATTTCCAGGTGGCAGGTCAGTCACTGAAATCCCGTTCATTCAGAGTAAGTCTGCACACAGCAAGCCGGTCTCTGACTCTGGGCCCCTCTGTCTGCACAACCATCCTCTGGGCCTCTCTGCACAGTCATCCCGCACAGCCGTCCTCTGGGTCTCTGTCCTCTGCTCTGCTCTCCTGCAGCCTTGCAGCCCTGCCACCGTGTCACACCCAGAGCATTGGGTGGAGCTTTTTATATAGAGTCAACAGCCATGTATTGCCCACAGGTGTGCAGTGAGCTAGTCAACCAGGGCCAGGTGAGAATCCTGGCCACAGGAACTCTCATTTTATCCACAGGGGCATCATCTCCCTGGTTTATGACAGGGTCATAGTGGCTCTGCATATACATGAGCTGTATGGAGGAAACACATTCCTTGATAAAGTTAATGAGCCAGTTAAATATGCAGGGTCCCACTAATAGTCCAAGGAACAGCAGAACTGCTGGCCCAGCAAGGCCAGTTAGAAGAGTTGTTAGCCATGGATTCCATTCTGACCATCCCTGGAACCAAGACTTTTTGTTTTCTAGCATCTTATTCCTATGCTGGATGTTTTCTTTTACTTTGGCTAGAGAGCTCTCAACTATGCCAGACCAATTTGCATAAAAACAACAATCTTCTCCAAGGGCTACACATAAGACTCCCTGGGACATGAACAGGAGGTCCAGTCCTCTACGATTCTGCAACACCACTTAAGCCAGGGAATCAATTTGATCTTGCAGCTGAATCATGGTGGTTTCAAGCTGCTCTAAATCTTGGTTAACTTCTTCTGTTAGGGCAGGGGAGCCCTAAGTCTCCCTTTATTAAGGCCGCTGTGCCCACTGCAGCTGGTCCGGCTACACTGAGCCCAACTAGAGCAGAGATCAGCAAAGGAGCAGCCCATTTCGTCCAGGAAATTTCACCGGGGGAAAGGAGGTAGCTCCCTTCGGGCCCACTATAAATAAATATTTGGGGCAGTACTCAAATAAGGATGCCCAGTCCAGGCTGGGCAGCACTATAAATGCAGCAAGCCAGTCCAGTTTCACAGGCACACCATGTGCCGTTTGGGGCCAGGTAAATTAGAAATTCATTAACAGTGGTATTAGCATAGATGTCAGAAAAGTCTTTTTTCTGCTGTTTGGGGGGGCTCTTAGAGGGCCAGAGGCTGGGGGCACTTCCTGTTATGTTGCCCATAGTTAGTTGGGGCCCTGGGTGTAGACACAGAGAATGATTATGAGCAGTGTTGGGAGGCAAAGTGAGCCCTATTCCAGTGTAGTGAGGAGGCCTGGCTCTGCAGCACACCCAGCAGTCCTTAGCCAGCTCAGGCAGGGCTATACTTAGGAGTTGGTGCATGTTTTGCAACATAGGGAACAAGCTAGGATTTTGTTGCATTTTTCTTTTTGGGTGGGATGAAGCTTCTGCCGGGGACAGTCTAGGACCCTCAGGGAGAACTTTATGGGGACCAAAGTATGGGTCTCCTAAGTCTGCCAAGGGTCCATGTAGCCTTAGGGCAAATCTTGGCTTCTTTCACTGAATGGTTATTAGAGCTCCTGGGTCATATCTAAACTTGTACAGGCGGACTCTCCAAGTGTACCCAGTTCCCCACTGGTA